AGTGTGGCAAAGGCTCCCAGCCAACTCCTTGCACTCCAGCTCCCTGATCCGGGCCCCCGGGACTTGCCATATCTCCCTGATTATTCAGAACAAGACCTCCAGTGGATTGACAAACTTCCCCTGAAACAGATCCAGAATGGGTGGTGGACTGATACTAATAACCAAACCATCCTACCAGAAAAATTAGGACAACAAGTGTTAGAACACATCCACCGAACCACCCACCTGGGTGCCCAGCGGATGATAGACCTGATCAGACGCTCCAAGCTCAAAATCAGACATATAGCCGAGACGGCCAGCAGCATCGTGACAAGTTGCAAAGTCTGCCAGCTTAACAACGCCTACCCCCAATCCCAGGCTGCAACGGGAACAAGGCTCAGGGGAACCAGGCCCGGTATCTACTGGGAAGTAGATTTTACTGAAATAAAGCCAGGAAAGTACGGGTATCGGTACTTACTTGTCTTTGTAGATACTTTTTCAGGGTGGACTGAAGCATTCCCAACCAAAAGAGAAACTGCTCAGGTTGTAGCAAAGAAAATCCTGGAAGATATCCTCCCCAGGTATGGCTTCCCCGTCCAGATAGGGTCAGATAATGGGCCAGCCTTTGTCGCTAAGGTAAGTCAGGATTTGGCTTCCATCCTTGGGGCAAATTGGAAACTACATTGTGCTTACAGGCCCCACAGTTCAGGACAGGTAGAGAGGATGAATCGGACCTTAAAGGAGACCTTAACTAAATTGACTATGGAGACTGGCGCTAACTGGGTGGTCCTTCTCCCCTACGCTCTGTTCCAGGCCCGTAATACCCCTTACAGACTGGGCCTTACCCCTTATGAAATCATGTATGGCAGACCCCCACCCCTGGTTCCCAGCCTAAAAGATGATCTGCTCAAGTCTGAAACAGAAAATGTCTCGGAACTCTTATTTTCCTTACAAGCCTTGCAGAAAATTCATCAAGAAATCTGGCCCAAGCTGAAGGAACTATATGAGACCGGTCCCCCACCGACACCCCATCCGTACCAGCCGGGAGACTGGGTCCTGGTTAAGCAACATCGACAAGAGACCCCAGAATCCAGGTGGAAGGGGCCACTCCAGGTACTCCTAACCACACCCACCGCCCTGAAGATAGAAGGCATCGCGTCGTGGATCCACTACACCCATGTCAAGCCAGTGGACCCAACCTCCGACCTTCTGGGACCAATCACGGCGGCGGCTGAAGCACCGGCCACGTGGACTGTGGACAGAGCTAAGAACAACCCCTTAAAACTCACCCTGCGCCGGCAGCATAGCTCACTGCAAACATGCAGTTAGGTAGTCTAACCCTAACGTTACTCGCCCTAGTGGCCGCTGGGGAAATCACAAAACCAGCTCTTAATCCCTTTGTCTGGAGATTCTGGCTTTATGAAAACCGAACCCACCCTAGGCAACCTCATAAGCCCGGGAAATTATTGGCCAGTGCTGATTGCCCCTCCTCAGGGTGCAATAGCCCAATTCTACTAAATTTTACTGGTTTTCAAATAGCCAAACCTATGACACCAATAATATGCTTTGAGTTTGATCAGACTAAATACAATTGTAAACACTATTGGTGGCACCAAAATGCCGGCTGTCCTTATAACTATTGTAACATCCATAGATCCCGATACTGGGGAGAGAAAGAACAGTTAGACCCTAGGTGGGCCTTCCATCGTAGACGGGACGGAGACTTTTCATATACATGGATAGTTAGAGACCCCTGGAACTCCCACTGGACCACGCCTCAACATGGGGCTGTATACTACTCCCCCTCCTCCACATGGCCTAGCAGTCACCTCTATCTGTGGCGAGGTCTAGTGCAGGTACTGCCTCTGGTCCATGGAAATATCCAACGACAAGAAAACAGACTAACACAAGACTTACGTCCTTTCTCCTGGTTAAAATTATTACAAGAAGGACTAGAACTTGCTAACCTTACAGGACTTCACAGCCTGTCTGGCTGCTTTCTGTGTGCCACTCTAGGGCATCCACCACTAACCACTGTCCCTCTGCCATGGGGATCCTCTACCTCTGCCCAAGCTAACAACCTCCGAAACCTCTCATATGCCCCTATCCTTAACGTGCCCCTATACCTAAACCCCAGTCAGGAAAAGTTTTTCTACTGTTTCTCAGGAACCAATTCCAGCCTCTGCAGCATCACTGCAACACCCCCTAATATCACCCTAAGGGCTCCGCCGGGCATATTCTTCTGGTGTAATGGAACATTATCTAAGAACCTATCTAGTCCCTCTGTTCCCCCCATCACACTGTCCACATTACCGTCCCCAGTTGACTCTACTAAACTGCTAGCAAGTTTCCTGGGTACCAACAAAACAACGGTAACCTGGACTCAAGTACTGCTATTCCACCACCAGCATCCTTAGACACAGAGACCCTGCCGGCCTCTTACTCTCCCTCCTCCTTGCGGGGACATCTCCCCTCACCTCATCCTCATCGCCGGCCCGGCCTGGCGGGGAGCCCTCAGAGTCACACCTCTCCTGGAACGCCCCACGGCTTCTACCCAGCATTTGCCGTTACTATGCGCGCAGTCGCTGAAGTCCCCTGCCCTCCCCTTCAGCGACAGACTCACGTCCTAAGCTCAGGTACCCTTGCAGAAACCGCGGCCTAGACTACACCACTGCTGAAAACGGTGTAATGTATGTTTCTAAGGCACGACTGTTGTTTCTAACATAATGAACTCAGGGCTTGTAGAGGAACCGGGTCCAAGCAGCTATGCAAGTTAAGCACAGAAGTAAAACACGCAGTTCGCTTCAGCTGCAGACCAATGGTGGAATTCCTCTGTGTTTTCCCTGTTAGCCCCCTTGCCTTGGACCCCTGCTGAGGTCTACTATTTCTGCTTACCGTAGGACCTTGTGTTGTTAACAGAATTTTGCAGTTTGTCAGAGAAAGGTTTGACACCGTACAGCTCATGGTCCTCAGAGCCCAATACCAACCTGTAAACGGCTGAACAGGATCAGACTTATAGGACCCAAGATTGGCCTCTAGAGGTACCTAAAGAAAAGGGGGGATGGAACCCCACATTCCTCACATATTCTCCCAACTCCCTGAGCCCAGCACAATACATTCCTCCATATATCCTCCCAACCCTGAGCCACCAAACCCTTCCTCCATATATCTCCCAACTCCCTGAGCCCAGCACAAACCACTCTCCATATGTCTCTCAACTTTAGAAAAACAACACCTGGGAAACTCCGATAGGCCACAGCGGGAATCAATAAAAAATGCTAAATGTATAGTTGTTAACCAATTATAGTACTGTAACCCAAGAAATTTCCCTTGTTCCTCTGTAACTTTACATATCCTGTTTACATCAGCCTATAAAAAGGCAAGCACTCGCTTTTGTTCGAGGCCCTTTGTATGCTGTGGATGGAGGGACCAAGTTCGAACTTGCAGTAAAGAGAGTCCTTGCCGCTTGGCTTTGACTCTGGACTCTGGTGGTCTTCTTTGGGGAACAAATGGTCTGGGCATAACAGGCCTCCCAAAATGCTGGGTTTACAGGCATGAGACACTGTGCCTGGCCAGGTTGTAGTGTTTTCTCTTTGTGATTTTTAACTTACATTTCCCTGCTTTCTTTTCTTTTTCTTTCTTTCTTTTTTTTTTTTTTTCTGAGACAGAATCTTGCTCTTGCTCTGTCACCCAGGCTGGAGTGCAGTGGTGCGATCTTGGCTCACTGCAACCTGCACCTCCCGGGTTCAAGCGATTCTCCTGCCTCAGCCTCCCAAATAGCTGGGATTATGGGCACATGCCACCATGCCCAGCTAATTTTTGTATTCTCAGTAGAGACGGGGTTTCACCACGTTGGTTGGGCTGGTCTCGAACTCTCTGACCTGTCATCTGCCCATCTCAGCCTCCCAAAGTGCTGGGATTACAGGCGTAAGCCACCGCGCCCGGCCCCATTTCCCTGCTTTCTAATGAGGTTAAACATGATTTTGTTTCTTTCTTTCTTCTTTTTCTTTTTTGAGACAGGGTTTCACTTTGTTACCCAGGCTACAGTGCAGTGGTATGATTGCAGCTAACTGCAGCCTCAATCTCCCAGACTCAAGTGATCCTCCCACCTCAGCCTCCCTTGTGGCTGAGACTACAGGCATGCCACAATACCAGGTATCCAGGAAAGTGTCAAAGTCTGTAAAATATTTGAAGAGATTTATTCTGAGCCAAATATGAGTGACCATGGCCTGTGACACAACCCTTAGGAGGTCCTGAGAACATGTGCCCAAGGTGGTGGGGGTGCAGCGTTGTTTTATGCATTTTAGGGAGGCATGAGACATCAAACACATTTAAGAAATACGTTGGTTTTGTCCAGAAAGGCAGGATAACTCAAAGCGGAGTGGGTGGGGGGCTTCCAGGCTATAAGTAAATTTAAACCTTTTCTGGTTGACAATTGGTTGAGTTTGTTTAAAGACCTGGGAAAGTAGCCGGGCATAGTGGCTCATGCCTGTAATACCAGCACTTTGGGAAGCCGGAGAGGGCAGAACACCTGAGGTCAGGAGTTCGAGACTAGCCTGGCCAACATGGTGAAACCCCATCTCTACTAAAAATACAAAAATTAGCCGGGCGTGGTAGCGAGTGCCTGTAATCCCAGCTGCTTGGGAGGCTGAGGCAGGAGGATCACTTGAACCCGGGAGGTGTAAGTTGCGATGAGCCAAGACAGCACCATTCAGCCTGGGCAACAAGAGGGAAACTCTGTCTGGAAAAACAAAAACAAAAACAAAAACAAAACCTGGGAAAGAAAGGCATTTTCCTTTCGAAAGAAACAAAATGTTGAAGTTAAAAGATTACAGAGACCAAGGTTCTTTTGAAGTCGTATAGTGGCTAGCTTAGAGACAATAGATGACAAATGTTTCCTATTCAGATCTTTAAAAGGTGCTACACTCTTAGTTAATCTCTTTAGGATTGAGAGGGCCTGGAAGAAAAGATCTAGCTATGTTAATATAGATTCTTTACAGATGCAAATTCCCCCCCACCCCCTCCACACACACACACAAAGGACAGCTTTGCAGGGCCATTTCAAAATATGGCAAAGGAAAAAAAAAAAAAAAGGCCGGGCACAGTGGCTCAAACCTATAATTCCAGCACTTTGGGAAGCCCAGGCGGATGGATCACCTGGGGTCACTGAGATTGAAGCCAGCCTGGCTAACACGGTGAAACCCCATCTCAACTAAAAATACAAAAACTAGCCAGGCGTGGTGTCGTGCACTTGTAATTCCAAGTACTCAGGAGGCTGAGGGAAAAGAATCGCTTGAACTTGAGAGGTGGAGGTTGCATTGAGCCGAAATTGTGCCACTGCACTCCAGCCTGGGTGATAGGGCGAGACTTCGTCTCATAAATAAATAAATAAAATAAAACAAAATATGGCAAAGAAACATGTTTTGGGGTAAAATATTTTGACTTTCTTCTTTGTTATGCCAGAGTCAGAATGGAAAGTAAGTCACAATATATAGGGTTAAATAAAACCCATCTGATGAGAATTTATGGTTTGTAGGGCATGAATCCCCAGACCCATTAGATAGGAATTTGGGCAAGATAAAAAAAATGAGAGCTTAGTCCTCACTGGCTACTTTTTTTTTTTTCGAGACAGAGTTTCATCACGTTACCCAGGCTAGTCTCCAACTCCTGGGCTCAGGTCTCCTGGGCTCAATCAGTCCACCAACATTTGTCTCCCAAAGTGCTGGGATTACAGCCTTGAGCTACCGTGCCCAGCCTGTGATTTTCTTTATATTTTTTGAGGGAGAGTTTCGCTCTGGTCGCCCAGATTGGAGTGCAATGGCGCAATCTCGGCTCACTGCAACCTCCACCTCCTGAGTACAAGCGATTATCCTGCCTCAGCCTCCTGAGTAGCTGAGATCACAGGCGTCTGCCGCTATGTCTGGCTAATTTTTTCTATTTTAGTAGAGATGGGGTTTCACCATGTTGGTCAGGCTGGTTGGGAACTCCTGACCTCAGGTGATCCATTTGCCTCAGCCTCCCAAAGTGCTGGGATTACAGGCGTGAGCCACCGCGCCTGGCCGAGCCTATGGTTTTCATATAACATATGAAGCATTTTGATTCTCTCAGATTTTACACTCAGAATACACTATCTACAGTTAATTCTCAACTTTTTCTCCTACTTAATTAAGTTCTAAGAATACTAAGAAGATGAGCTGAGATAGGGTCTTGCTATGTTGCCCAGTCTGGTCTCAAACTCCTGAGCTCAAATGATTCTCCTGCCTCAGCCTCTCAAGTAGCTGGGACTACAGGCAGCTGTCACTATGCCCAGGTTTAGTCAGAAATTTAGAACTTGATCTCTTTATTTCATTTCTTATATCCATTAGATTG